CGCCTCCCGCCCCCTTCCCCGCCACCCGCGCCAGGCCCGCGTCTCCCCTGCCAGCCGCGCCCTCGGCGCCGTCCGGACGTCCAGCGCCAATTACCTGGTTCATCTCTGAAGAGATGGAAAAATTCATCTCTGGGGCTCCGACGGGGCGCAGGAGGAAGCGGGAGGGGACCGGCCCGGCCGAAAGCTCCCGGAGGCGGCGGCGGCGGCTGGCAGCGACCGGGCGCGAGGACTCACAGCCAGTCCGCGTTGGCTGCGGCGCCACCGGACGAGGGCTCGCAAGGACTCGCTCGATCGCCGGCACGGCCGCGCGGAAGCAGCAGGCGGAGAGACTGCGCCCAGCACCGCCAGAGACAGCCGCCCGACCTCCACGCGCGTCCCGGAGACACTGCCGCCGCTGCTGCCGCCGCCGCGCGCCCGCCCGTCCGCACCGCACCCCCCACGCACGTCACCACGTGCGCCGCCAACGCCAACGCCTCCCCGGGCCGCTTCCGGCTCCAACCCATCCGCGAATCACAGGCGAGCTCCAGAAAGATCCCGCGCTGGGACCCGCCCCCTCCGCAGACACGCCCACATCCCGTCCCGCCCTCCTCCGCGGTCCGCCGGCGCTTCCTCCTCCACCGCGCAAGTAGGTCAGCGCAAGGTGATCCCGCGGCGCGGGACGGCTCTGCGTCCCTCTGCGTCCGCGCCGTCCTGCCCTGGTCACGCTGTCCCCTCCTCCCTCGACCTGCAACTCTGCCTCCGTCCTTTCGGACGGTCCCGGAACTAGTTTCCTAAGCCGCCTTCACCTGCTTCTCTTTCCCTGGAGGCACAATAGCTGAAGGGATCGGACGTGGCTGAGGAGATTTCTCCTTCCAGGCAGCCGCCCTAGACTGGACTGGGCCGCAGTGGACTTTAAGTGTACTTGGTCAACAGCCCTTAGCTTGGAGGTGAAGGAAAAAGAGAAGGGGTTGAATAACTCTTCATTCGGCCTGGTTTGGGTGACAGCACTCAGTAGCTTACCAAAGCCAATTGGCCTTATTACTGTAAAACCCTGTTCACCTTCACTTTATGCCCCCTGGGTTTCTCTTCAGGAAAACTCAATCTTTACTGGTTTTGTCTTCTTTTAGACAAGAAACCTAGAGAGATTAGTAGTCCCTATCTTAACCTCCGGGGGGCCTTTTATGTCTTCAGCCAAGCCTAATTATCTGTACCCCATTACTTTGATCCCCAGAAGGCAGATCTATTTGGTTTCACCACTCCTAGTTAGGACCTTTACTTTTTTTTCCCCCTTTGTTTATTACCTTCTGTATGAAAAAGAAAGTCTACTATATGTGTGTAAGTTGTTTTTATCTTTCAGGCAACTCAGTCAATCCAATTACTACTCAATACTTGCTAAAACATTAATGAGACATACTATTTTCAGTCTTTTTGTTTCCTAGGTGTACTGTGACAAAGTACCTCAAACTATATTAAGGAAAAAAAATGTCATATTTTGGAGGCGGAAAATGTGAAGTCCAAGTTCCTTATGGTGGTTGTGGGGAGGATCTGTTCTGGGCTATTCACATCTGGTAACTTATCTTTACACAGTATTTGTCCTGTGTACATGTTTACTGCCCAAATATTCCCTTTTTTAAAGGGCATCAGTTACTACTGGAGTAGGGACACAGCTTATTCCACTTTGACCTCACTTTAACTAAATCTACAACTATTTTTTGCAAATGAGGTCATATTTCGAAACACTAGGACTTACAGCTTCAACAAATGAATTTGGACAGGCTATGTGATTCCATCCATAACACTTAGGTTCTGTGTCTCTCTAGGATAGTCATCTGATCATATTTGTTAGAATCACATGGATAATCATATCAGTCATAGAGGTCCCTGGGCTCTAAGCTAGTAATTTTCAAAGAAGAGGTGTTATTTTGCCCCCAGGGGACATTTGGCAATACCTGGAAACAGACTAGGAGAGAGGTACTACTGGTAGCTAGTATGTCTGGAATGTTGTTATAATCCTATGTAGTGCACAGGACAATGTCATAGCAAAAAATTATCATTGCTAATCACTGGTAGCTCACTCCTGTATTCCTAATCACTCAGGAGACACTGACCTGGCAGAAAAATGTGTAAGACTATCCAAATATCCAGCCAAAATGCAGGATTGGAGATACAGCACCAGTGGTGAGTAAAAAAGTTGAGGTAGAGCTCAAGGTCTTGAGTTCAAGCCCCTACACTGGCGCACATGAAAACACACACACACACACACACACACACACACACACATACACACATACACACATACACAAATCTAACACGTAAATGTCTCCAAACCCCTTTCCGGTATTTGTTGCCTTTCTTATTTAGTAACCATGTTAATTATGACAAATTGCTTTAATTATTACCACCTAATAATTCAGACAATTTACAAGTCTTAATATTCATTTTAAATTGGAATCTTGTTTACATTTTGTAGAGGTGGGTGGGTGTGTGGGTGTGAGCGGTACTGGGGCTTGAACTCAGGGCCCAAGTGCCATCCTTCACTTTTCTGTTCAATATTATTACTTTACCACTTGAGCCATAACTATACTCCCAAATTTTAAGTGGTTAAGGAGCTTCTTAGATTTTCTTGCCCAAGCTGGCTTCAGATCTTCCAAATCTCTAGGATTACTGGCGTGAGCCATGGGTACCCAGCTTGTTTAAATTTGAAATTTCTCTAGTATGTCGCATTATTTTAAATCAACTGTCTAAATTTTCTGGCTGTCTTTGGTCTAATGAACAATCATCACCAACCTCTAGTTTGGCAAAGCACTGCCTCCTTCTCTCCAATGGTTTCTCCTGTATTCTGGGGACTGCCTTGTCTGATTGATACATTGTTTGTTTGTTTTGCTGTGGGGCCCTGAACTCAGGTTTTGGGCACTGTCCCTGAGCTCTTTTGCTCAACACTAGTGATCTACCATTTTGAACCCAACTGCTCCACTTCCTCTCCTTGCAGTTTATACTGAAACTTCCTCCATTCCTTTTCTTCTTCCTTCCCCTTCCCCCTCCTCCTCCACTACCTCCTCCATCTTCTTTTTTGTCAGTCAGAACTTGAACTCAGGGCATGGGCACTGTCCTTGAGCTCTTTTGCTCAAGGCTAGTGCTCTACTACTTTGAGCCAAAGCTCCACTTCCGGTTTTCTGGTTGTTAATTGGAGATAAAGAGTCTCATAGACTTTACTGCCTGGGCTGACTTTGAACTGTGATCCTCCAATCTCAGCATCCTAAATAGCTGGATTACAGGCTTGAACCACTGGTGCCTGGCTCCTTTTCTTCTTTTCTTTTGGTCTTGAACATATTTTTAGAGTACATTAAAGGAGTTTTAAGAGCAGAAAATGGTGGTGTCATAAAAGGCACAAAAAGCCTAGGGGAAAGTCTTAAAACTTTTATACTGACATTAAAGTAGGTCACTGAAAACTGTTCTGTATTGCAGTGCATAACCAATTGAGAACTCGATGCCTCTCTAAAAAAGTGTTTTCTTAAGTATTTCTTACTTAAAAAAAAAAAAACTTTCACTACCCTGTGAGACATCTATAGATTTTTTTCATCAGAATAAGGTCAATATTTAGTTTATTATTTTTTAATCTGTGAATTTTAATATTCTTCAAATACATCAGAATACTTGGAGCCTGAGTGATCTTACTTGTTGTTAAATTACTCAAAGAGAATATTTTACTAATAATTTTTCCCACTAGTTTTTTTTTTTTTGCCAGTGCTGAGGCTTGAACTCAGGGCGTGTGCACTGTTCCTGAGCTTCATTTGCCCTACCACTTGAGCCACAGTGCCACTTCTGGCTTCTTCTGTATATGTAGTACTGAGGAATCGAACCCAGGGCTTCATGGGTGTAAAGCAAGCACTCTACCACTAAGCCATGTTGCCAGCTCCATCCCACTAGTTTGTTTATTTGGTTTTTTTAAATTATTCTTGGTACAGTTTTTGAGATCACCTTTAGCCTCCTATTCCAACAGTAGGGATTTCCTAATAGTTTCTCTCTCTTTTCCCAGGAACGAAAATTTCCTGCCATTCAGAGATTCTTCCTTCAATTCAATGTTATATAACATTTAAATCTGCTTCCTCTTTTTTTTGTGGGGGGGAATGGTCTTGGGGCTTGAACTCAGGCCTTGGGTGTTATCCTTTAGCTTATTTGTTCAAGCCAGTTTTTTTCCCCCTTCTTTTTGGTGGTTAATTGGCATTAAGAATCTCATGGCCTTTCTTGCCTAGGTTGGCTTCAAACCATGATCTTCAGATCTTACTTCCTGAGTAGTTAGTATTACAGGTGTGAGCCACTAGTGCCCTTCTTCCTGCTTTCTTTTTGACATTAGGCCACAATATGCAATCTAGGTTTTCTGAGAGCATCCAAAACAAAAACACCAACAACAAAACCCGTTTAAATCAGCTTAATTTCAAAGAATAAAAAAGACATGGAGTAAGCTTTCTTAGTAGCTGAAGTACAATCATGAAAAGGAAATGTATAAATAAAAGTAGTTACATATAGTATAATCTGTATGGTTCAATCCTGAAAGAGATTTTTTTGGTTGTTGTTATGACTACATCCAAAACGGGTATATAAAAGTTATATGCTATAATCCAAGCATGGCAGTACACTACTGCAATCTTATCTACTTGTGTAAGAGGATTTGGGTGCCCTGTTGGGTCTGGGTAAAGTTATATGTGAACCTATCAAAAAAAGATGGGGGGGGAATCTTTCAATATATGAAATCAAGAAACTGTTCTTAAGGAAAAAAAAAATCAAGAGAAGGCAGTTGGGTTTTAACCTTTTAGTTCTCCCTTCTCTTATAGTGTTTCCTGTCTTCTACAGACAACCAATGTGCTGCTAGAGTGTGCTAGATGCCAGTGGCTCATGGCTGTAATCATTGCTAATGTTTTATCACACAGATTTACACGAAAATGGGATTGGAGTTTAGCACTTGCTTGCAAGCTTGAGACACTAGGTTCAGTCCTCATTATCATAAACAAAAAAATTAATAAAGTCAGGCATGGTGATACAGATGTGTAATCCCAGCACTTGGTATACTGAAGGAGGAGGATTGTGAGTTTGAGGTCAACCTGGGCTAGATAGTGAGACCATGTCTCAACTCCCCTCTCCCCCTCAAAGTTTTATGGTGGCAACGTATCTTGCTAACAGCCCTCTTGTATCACCATGCCAGAGATACCCTTCTTTTCTC